TAGGCTATAATATAAAGAAATTAGCTACATTTATTTTCAAATTAACTATCACAACACACATTTATCATTCATAATGTAAGCGCAACTTGTGTAGATTTAAAAATGCATGACTGCTTAATTTTGATGTGTATTTGTATACTTTTACCATCTAATCAATCTCAGCATGCTTTAATTTGGTGTCGCTAGACGTTTGCATCACTAAGGTTAAATTAGCTTAAGTCTTTCTTTGGCCTGCGCTCTGGAAGTGATCTGTTAAATCTAATAAACTTTAATTACTAAAACTGAAACTAAACTATATAAAAACTAAATAGAAATGTGTTCAAAAAATTAAAACTAAACTAAAACTAACAAAATTATTAATGAAACCAATAAAAACTAAATTTTATTGCAAATTTGAAAATGGTATTAAAATAAAACGAATTTAAAAATACTAAACTATAATAACCTTGGTCTCCAGCAACATTTCCAGCATTTCTTATTGTTCGATTTTTTTTTGTTTTCTGCAGCGACTCGGAGCACTTTTCATACCCTTTTTTCTGGCTGAAGCACATTTGTTTCAATCTATAAGAATAATCAGCCTACACTACCAGTCAAAAGTTTTTGAACAGTAAGATTTTTAAGAATTCTCTTCTGCTCAACAAGGCTGAATTTATTTGATCCAAAGTACAGCAAAAACAGTAAAATGTTGAAATATTTTTACTATTTAAGAAGCTAAACTATATAAAAACTAAATAGAAATGTGTTCAAAAAATAAAAACTAAACTAAAACTAACAAAATTATTAATGAAACCAATAAAAACTAAACAAAATTTTATTGCAAATTTGAAAATGGTATTAAAATAAAACGAATTAAAAAATGCTAAATTATAATAACCTTGGTCTCCAGTAACATTTCCAGCATTTCTTATTGTTCGATTTTTTTTGTTTTCTGCAGCGACTCGGAGCACTTTTCATACCCTTTTTTTCTGGCTGAAGCACATTTGTTTCAATCTATAAGAATAATCAGCCTACACTACCAGTCAAAAGTTTTTGAACAGTAAGATTTTTAAGAATTCTCTTCTGCTCAACAAGGCTGAATTTATTTGATCCAAAGTACAGCAAAAACAGTAAAAATATTTCAAAATTTTACTATTTAAAATTGCTTTCTATTTTGAATAGATTTTAAAATGTAATTTATTCCTGTGATCATACATAGCTACATTTTCAGCATCATTACTCCAGTCTTCAGTGTCACATGATCCTTCAGAAATCATTCTAATATCCCGATTTGCTGATTATCAATACTTAAAACAGTTGAGTAAATTTTTTTTTCTCCAGGATTCTTTGATTAATAGAAAGATCCAAAGATCAGCATTTATCTGAAATAAAAAGCTTTTGTAACATTATACACTATTCCATTCAGTATAATTTTTATACATTTTTGGGGAAAGAAATTATAGAAATTAATAATTTTATTTAGCAAGGATGCTTAAAATGATGATAAAGGCATTTATAATGTTACAAAAGATTTCTATTTCAGATAAATAGTGTTCATATCGATATCGGAATTATATCGTATCGACCGAAATTAAGAAATATATCGTGATATAAATTTTGGCCATATCGTCCAGCCCTACCTCAACCCCCCGCACCTACAGCGTCATACCCGTTTAAACTCTACTCATCCTGTCATTAGAAGTCTGTGCTGATCCTAAAAGCGTCACATAATACCTCATCAGCCCTCTGATCACTGATTTAGTGCAGTGACAATGCAGCAAATGACGAACGTGGACTGATGTTATTAAAACTGCTGCATGAGGTGATGTCCTGTACAGTTTAGAGGCTGCTCGCAGCTGAAGTTCAGCGTTGTTAGCTCATCTATGATGCTGCACAGTGATAATATTTTGGTCTGTGGGCAGTTCAACTGTGAGAAACGCAGTCTTACCAATCGTTGTACGGCTCGTTTGCAGTTTCCTCAGCTACCAAGTTATCATACTCCTCTGCAGCATATTTCTCCCAGTCAGAAATCTCCTGTCCCATTGTCTCAGCATCCTATAAATTTACAAATGCAGAACAGCAATAGTATTAAATCATCAAAGTGACCAAAACAACCATACAATTATATAAATCATGTTATTCTTTACCCTTGCAGCCAGTAAGGGATCCCTCTGTTCGTGGTCTAGGTACTTCTCAACGTTGAAGAAGGTGTCAAAGAAAATATGGGAAAGTTTACATCTCTTCAAGTCCCTGAGAGTGATTTTTCCTGGCAAAAAATATAAAGCAAACACGTCATAAGTAATCTTATGGTTTTGCTCACTTTAGCTAGGATGTGTGACTACTTCAGAATGATGACAGATGAGCATGCAAAGTCTAGGAAATTCAATCCAACACATTAAGTTATTCATCATTTCAAACAATACCTGGGATTTCTGGCTTAACCATATCTAACATTTGGCACAGGCTGTCCTCGAAAGGCAGTGGTTCAATGGCCATGGCCTCAAGCTTCTGAGACTGCTCCTGGTAGAAGTACTCCAGCTCATACATGGACAGAACTCCATCCCCATCCAGATCCATACAGCGAAACCAGTACTCTATGCTACACAATCAACAAGCAGATTATGTAAATAATACTGTAAATGTAACTAAAATGATATTCATTCAAAGTTGGTTTAATTTTGTTTTTATAGCCTTGAATTTTCACATATATTTAATGTTCCATTTTTTGGGGAAATTGTTTTATCAGATTAATCAAAGAAAGAATTGATTAATTATCAAGAAAGCGGATAGTTGCAGTCCTATCATTTTGGGGGGAAAAAAGCAATAAAGAAAGAGGTAATTTCAGTTACCTGGTCTCAGTCTTTTTGTCCTCCTCAGATATGAGGAACCATACGAAGTCAGTGTAGCTCAGTTTGTGAACCTCTTTGTGAACCTTTCTGTCCCTGAGCATCAGAGTATAATTTAACCACAGCACTCACAAAATCTATAATAATGCGACACGCAAGCTTTCAAAAATTGGAGAGAAACAAAAGAATGTCTGAAAAATGAGAGATGGTACCTGGTTACAGCTCCTGAGAATAATCTCTCAATCATTCGGTGGGATATGGCTGTCAAAGAGAGCAGAATGGCAGAAAAAGCACCAAGACAGTGCTGATCTGTAAAATGTCCAGACTTATGGTGCACCAAAAATATAACAGTGTATATACACAACGTCTGTTCAGGTTATTTGAGGTTTTAGTTAATGGTGCAAATCCATGCTTAATATACAAAAAACATTTGAATTACTAGAAAAATACACAACTGGAAGTATTCCTTACAGTGGTAATGTAGCGTGAGTGAAAGTCTGAAGCCTCCTTTAGAAATGCCAGACCTGTATGTGAATCCACCACATCCTTAAAAAAAAAAAGGTATAGAAATGATTCACACACCAATATAACATTAAAGTCAGCATATAATAACTGACACGGCTTACAAGAGAAGAAAAAAACAGCAATGTTAAATCCATTTGTGTGCAAAGAGGCTCTGGATTAGATTACAGAGAAAAGGCGAATCATTTTAGTCTGTCCACTTGCAGAGGCTAATGCGTTGGTACAAGATGTGTGGAAATGTTAAAGGTATTAAACTTCTAAGAACAAAGGGGTGATTTTAAGGCCAAGTCCAGTTTTTAGCTTGTGCATCAGTTTCAGCCAGTCTCACTCTCTGCATACATATGGCCTGCTGGCTTTTCCATCTAGTGCATTCTTCAGCAGAGAAACAAAGATTTTACTCATGCATGTTTCATAGTCAAATACTGGTATATATGCGTAAAAGGCGATAAATTACGACAACTTATTTTGGGGGGAGGTGCGGGACTCTTTGACCCTTCCCCATGTGAAATTAAACGTCCAGACTTATGGTGCACCAAAAATATAACAGTGTATATACACAACGTCTGTTCAGGTTATTTGAGGTTTTAGTTAATGGTGCAAATCCATGCTTAATATACAAAAAACATTTGAATTGCTAGAAAAATACACAACTGGAAGTATTCCTTACAGTGGTAATGTAGCGTGAGTGAAAGTCTGAAGCCTCCTTTAGAAATGCCAGACCTGTATGTGAATCCACCACATCCTTAAAAAAAAAAAGGTATAGAAATGATTCACACACCAATATAACATTAAAGTCAGCATATAATAACTGACACGGCTTACAAGAGAAGAAAAAAACAGCAATGTTAAATCCATTTGTGTGCAAAGAGGCTCTGGATTAGATTACAGAGAAAAGGCGAATCATTTTAGTCTGTCCACTTGCAGAGGCTAATGCGTTGGTACAAGATGTGTGGAAATGTTAAAGGTATTAAACTTCTAAGAACAAAGGGGTGATTTTAAGGCCAAGTCCAGTTTTTAGCTTGTGCATCAGTTTCAGCCAGTCTCACTCTCTGCATACATATGGCCTGCTGGCTTTCCCATCTAGTGCATTCTTCAGCAGAGAAACAAAGATTTTACTCATGCATGTTTCATAGTCAAATACAGGTATATATGCGTAAAAGGCGATAAATTACGACAACTTATTTTGGGGGGAGGTGCGGGACTCTTTGACCCTTCCCCATGTGAAATTAAACAGTAGAAAAACACATAAATCACTGCTGTAAAGGAGCAGACGGGAACAGGCCAATCTACTCCATAACAATACTTTTTTCATTCATCAAAACGGTCAAAGCAATTGCTAAAGCTGCACAATACAAATTAAAGTGCGGACGCCAGAATACATCTCCTCTAGTGTGCACGGCCAATCCTGCCAGTGAATATAAATGACATGTCCATCACTGAACTCAAAGAACGCACTTCTGCACACAATTATTTCATAACGTTAAGCGTCACATTTGGAATTTTGCAAGTACATAAAAAAAGGAATGAGAGCAAATAATATAATGCTAAAATCATCAATGCTCGGTGCATTTTGACCTGTGTGTGTCTGTGTTCTCAGTGGTAGGTCTCTATTCCAGAACTCTGTACCTGCAGGAATGGAATAAAGTCCTCTTGTTCCAAATAATTGCAGCCAGGCTTGGCCAGAAGGTGAAGAAATTTGGATGTGTCATCATGACAGGTCTGAAGCACTCTGTGGGGAGGAAACAGATGGTTTCAGGCTCCCTCTCACCCTTTCAACGAGCAATATGGTCTCCAAAACCCTTCACTTCAAATATATGTCTTTGGATTATTGGAATCTACAAATGAGGCTCCAGAATTCACGCTCAGCCAGTTGACATGCAATGATGGAAGAATAATGATTTAAAACAAGAGTTTTCAACCTTTACAGATTCATAGACCGCCCACCCAGCCAAACACTAATCTCATTAAAAATATGAACGTAAATGTTTTCCTAGATGTGGTACATTAATGATATAGAAGGTATATCATATAGCTATGTGTTTTTTTCATTAAATTATATTTTAAGGAAATTGTAGTGTATATCACGGCTCTCTGCAGAATTTTCACATCCCCTCAGTTAAAAACTTGAATGAGTTTTTGACAAGACAGCCACAGACAAAAATAAAAAAATAAAGAAATCACAAAGCAATGCAGGGACACCTAAAATAAACAGCAGTATCATTGTACAAAATAATAATATCACCAAAATCGTACACATAGAGCTCACTGTACTTCAGCTCTTGATAAGAGGACATTCACACACTTGTTAAAAAGCACCATGTGCAGCCATTGACCCCTGCCGATATTAATATGAGAGGGCACTGTTAAGAGAACTATTGTCTTACTTTCGCCACATTGCCACAAACTTGTGAACGGACACATATCCCCTCCTGTCTCCTCCGGCAGCATGGAACAATGGAGCTTTCCAATAGAGTGGGCACTCGCAGGCCTGCAGGGAGACAAAAGTGTCACACAGAAATAGATTGTTACTGCAATGTCAGGATGACAAAATAGATCAAGACGTAATGAATTTCAAAATGCCAACAATAAGCGCCAAACAGACCGCAAAGTTTTGAGATTTGAATGTTACAGTAGAGTTCAAAAATAAAATGCAAGACTATAACCTTTCTCTCATAAACGGGCAATTGAGCTCAATCAGAGGTTTCTGTTAAGTGCTTGGACATTATGACTACATCTTTCACATGTGCTGTAGAAACTATAAATGGGGCTAATTAGCAATGATTATGTTTATAAATCATTTTGTTTAAATTCCTGAATCCCGTCGTTTACCTAGACGGGTTCTATTCAGAATAAGTAATTCAACATATAAACAGTGGTGATATTTTTCCACTGGCTACAGGAAAAGTAAAACCTTCAAACTTGTAAACAGTTATACGTTAGTTACACAAAAAGAACAATTTGATGAACGGATAAAGGTGGCACGTTACAAACCACACTTACCTTGGCGACCAGCCCCATGTCTTTTAAAGTGACTCTTTCATCAGGAAATTGAGAAAATGTTTTTTCTATCTTGGAAATCAGATTGTCTATGTTGATATTGGCCTGGGGCTGTCCTCGAGGGAAGTAGAACTTTGGAATGCTTTCACTTAAAGCTGGTGTAACAGGCTCCTCTTTCTTAGCCTGCGCTTGCTGAAAAAGACAGAAATAATAACTATTAGCCACAAGACTCATCGTGGGAGAGATATACGGTTGCTCTGAAAATTTCACCTCAATCAGCATTTCACAGTGATGGCTTAATTAAGTCGCCTCAGAGTGCGTAAAACACAGTTTAAAATTTTTTTGACAGACGCACACCCTTGTGGATGACTTTAAGGAGAAGGCTTGCAATATTTTTTAGGATTTTTATTCCATGTGATGACATGAAGGATAAGAAAATTTTACGTGGATAATGGTTTGAAACATGACTTGTGACTCATTCATGACAACTAAATACAAAATAAGGGTAAGACCTTTTCGTTTAGCATTTTAAATTTGTTTTCCTTGAGCTTTGTTACATTTCCTTAAAACATACAAAAAACAAAAAACAAACAAACAAAAAAACAAAACAAAAAAACTCTTCCACCTTTTGACAGAAAAAAGGTCTAATACATAATGTACATATAAACAACTATGACTTTTGGCTGAGTCTGGATGAAGTTAAACAGGAATCTCTCCACAGTGTGATTACCAGTGCAAAGCTGTTGTCCTTGTGTCAAATCTATTTGCTATCATGTTATAAAAAGAACAGTTTTAAACTGTTACAAAACTGATAACAACTTGTGATGGACTGCAGGTTCAGTCTTGCAAACATTACTGTTGGAAACAGATTAACTTGGTATGGTAAACAACATCAGAAATAAACTATTGGACTGGTTATACATTCGACAATCAAGTATATAGTAACACTGACTAAACAAAATAATCAATTTAAAGCATTTATAAAGAGTTTATAAAAAGAAGAGGAACAATCAGAGACAAATGTTGATGTTGACTTGACAAAACCTTGCCTCAAACGTTCAAGAACCCAAAAAAATATAAAAAAAATAAAATAAAATAAAAACCTTGAAATTGGCAGGCTTTATGACCCAGAGTTGGGTGGATGAAAACTCTATGAAGAGCAAAATTTTAAAACATTGGTGGGGATTTTGAGAAAACATGACAATTGTGCACAACAACAGTATGATTGCTTAATCAAATGACAAAACGTCCTTCATGCCCAAATTTTTTTAACACTTGTGGTTAAATTCCTCTTATTACTGATTTTACAAAGGCTCAGCTTCCCACAGTAACTTAAAACCTCAACTATTTGAGTGTCAGGCTGCAGCTGTGAAGATCTTGACCCCCTAGAACTTCCAAACAAGGGAAAAAAACTCCATCAAAGCCCACTCTCTAGAATAAGCAACATTACACTGAACAAAACCATTTGGCTTTTCTGTATTAGACAATCACATGAACATGTAGGCTCCAGCCAACCTAACCTTCTGTGCTGCCGTGCTATCCTGAGAGATGTAAATATTTTAGGTGGCAAATATTTGGTTACTGTGATATGGAAGCAGATATTCATAACCTTCACTGTCATACTTCATTCTGGCATAAAAAAAAGAAAGATCCCATTTGTGATTCCAGTTTTAATATGCCATTTATTCCAAACCCATTATTAACCTCTTAGTCCACAAAACTCGAATGTAGCCTTCACATTACATTACATTTAATTTATTTCATTAACTCAGCATGGCAAAACATGACATGAAATGTATAAACAAACGCATTTCATATTATAGAAAGCAACAGTGAATGCCCAATTATTTAGCAGCCTTGGTTTCCAACATTTTTCACAATTATTTTCTCCAACTGGCATTTCAAAAAACTTCTTCAGTAAATATTTCTAAGCCAGGAACAAAACAAACCAGCTCCAAGATTTTTCATAACATTTTAAAAATAGCAAAATTCATTACAAGACCATGTAATTAAATTATTTTCAACTACACAATGACGCAATTGAAAAAACAAACAAAAACAAAAAAACAGTACAATATAGCTAGATAACATGTAGAATCATTAATTTACAAAAAGAATACCGCTTTTGTAGTTTTATAAATCACACAAGGCCATACTGAAAATTCAATTGTCATTAACTGTGTAGCTGTATTTTATGCAGTAATAAGACATCACATGGACAGCCGTATCCCCTCTCAGTAAACAACAGCTTCAGGAACTGTTTACATGTCAAATTTTTTTTTGACAATTTACTTATTGCTTCAGTCTCTTGTGATAGATTAGCTATTTTACTACCTCATCTCATTCTAGAGACATCCATAACGTATGTCTAGTAGTAGTCCACTGCTACTCATCAATAACAGCACAAAAAGCAGCTAAGAATTTGCTTTCAAATACACTAACTTTTAGGACCCTGCATGGAAGTTTGGAAGCCTAATGCATTTGGAAAGTCTTTCTCTGAAGTGGCATGCAGGGAATTCTGCTCAGTCTAACCCACTGTGAGAGATGAATGCGTTTAATCTTGCCTTCCCCAGTCAGTGTCAGCCATGTCTATAAAAGGGAATGACCATCATCAACTCCAGCACAGGGCAGACAGAGCCTCCTGCTCAACGCTAAACATTTGGATGCTCTTAAAACCGCCGATAATCCTCTAGCCGCTCAGTTATTTAAAAAAATAAATAAATAAAAAACCCTACAATGGCATACCTATAATCACACATCTAATGGACGCTACCTATGGCTGGGCGATATGGGCAAAAAATCATCTCTCTGTATTTTTTGGCCGATTTGCGATATATATCTTGGTATTTTCATTTTTGTATTTGGATAAAAAAAAAATCAGTATTTAATATATATCACTTACTGCTTAATGTTGTCCAACAAAACAATCCATATTAAAGGCTACGAAAACAAATAAAGTGAATGTAACCATGTAAGCCATTATATCATGTGCAAAAAAGGGTTAAAATCATGTTTCATTCTAACATTGCAATCTAAAAACAAAAATAAGGCTTTTAAAGTGGAAGTTAAATTCACTAAGCTAAATATGAAAATAAATAAGAACAAAAGCACAGAGTTGTGTTAGGCTATTTTGATTACCCCGTTAGTCACTTTACAGTCAGTGCTATCATAAAAATAGACTTACTTGTAGGTTTAAAATTCTACATGTCACATTTATTGTCCAACTACAAATATTTCAGTGAAATTTATATTTTAGTCAGAATTATTGAGCTCCTATTTAATCGAGCTTCGTCTGTTTGGGGTGCATGCACGCGGTGGCGATCGTTCACTTAAGTCTGTGTGAAGTTTAGCGGAGAATCGCAAAGCAGAAGGCTCATGCACCCCTGACAGCAAAATGGAAATATTTCCATGACTTTCTAACATTTACAGATGGCGAATATACCTGTGAAATGCAAGTTATGCATTCAGGAAGACAGCACATCTCAAACACATTAAACAGCGCAAATAGCCTAGTGTCTCTGTCAGCGGCACACGCAGTCTTTCAGTCAGAGGCAGAGCATACGACGGGCCGAGCCGCTTAAACTAATATGCGAAACGAAACTATACTATGTCTTACCAGTTTTTAAAGGCCTTAATATGCAGCTTGTCACGTGTTTAGAACAAACTGGATTATGCACTTTCTCCGCAGCAGCTCAGTCGGTGTCCTCCGCTATATTTTCAGATGCGCTCGAATCAAACTACTGTATATCGATATAAACGGTATATATTGCTTATAAAGAAAACATCGATATATCGTACAAACTCGATATACCGCCCAGCCCTAACATCACATCCCCACTGAGACTGACAGCAATAGCATTAAGCAAACAAGATCAGTCTGATGGCTTCACACAGAACATATAAGACAACCTGCCTGCCCTTGCTGGAAGGCTTTGAGCCTCTTCTTAAAGCGAGAGGGTAGCACAAAGTCGCAGCCGCGTGCCAGCAGTGCCAGCTCCTTCCTCAGATCAGGGTCCTGCCGTAAAGAGATCTCCTTCGTTCTCATGCTCCTGTCGGCTAATGGAGCCAGTGTGGCAGACAGTACGCACTCCGGGGTCAGGATAATCTTGCTCAGTGACTGTCCCACCACAGGACACTCCTCTGCCTGTCTTTATCAGAGCACCAGCTCTCTTAAACGTGAATGGCAGCTGCTCGCTTCAGCCTTGCAGTAGCCTGAATCACAGCCCTGCCTGTTGCTCCATACATCCAATAGTGGCTGGCAGAGGTCATACAGTTCTGTCCTGAAAAGTCACTGGGGAGATAGGACGAGGGTGATTGTGTGAGCGGTGGAGGGGGAGGGTGACAGTCGGAGGGGGTGTGGATCTGCCCTTTTCACTGTGCATTCCACTGCTCTCATAGAGGTTATGTAAAGACACAAACCTGCTCACTTGGAACCCTGTGATTCTGTATCCAGGAGATACAGCAGCTACTAAGAACAACACAGGTTAACTGCAATAGGATGCAACTTTCTAATAGATCAACATACTTCAAATCTACAAAAGCAAACTGAAGATTAATCAGCTATTAAAAAGAAGATCCCCCAAAATTTAAATTCAATCATCATTTAGTTTTTTATTTTATTTGATAGGATTATTTATATGATGCATTTTGCATCTGAAACATGCAACATTAACCAATCATCCGCATGGGGTGATGGAGATGCAGGATATTAGAGGAATAGTGCAGAGCTCAGACCACTAAGCATGGGCCTGTTCGAAATCAATATAGGGGAATTAAAACATCTCAAAACAATATTCACTGTATAATGCTGTGTCTAGGCTACCTATTGTGCCAAACTCAAAAAGCACCACATGTTTAGATACTTAATAATGTAATCAATTTTATAATTATTAATAAACCAACATCAGTAATTAGCCAACCTAAGACATTTGGATCAACATGTATTAGGGATGGTAAGTAAAATTTAATGATGCAATGCTTCAATTTAAAAAAAGTGTGCATCGGATACAAGTTGGCATTTGTATCGCAATGCATCATTTCTAACATATTTGCATCTGTAAAAACAGATTTATTTATAATTATTGGTAGATGCACTATACTTTCATTATTTAGAAAGTTGTCAATAATTTGTGACCAATATTTTATATGTAGACTGATTTCTCCTCTCTAAACAGTTTCTCAAGCGCATTCTCTCATCACCACTGCTGCTACATGAATATAACGTATCACAACACTACGGAGACCAAGGTGTGTCCTGAGAGTCACATAGCGTATAGATTAACATGGCTGTTTAAACCAAAGAAATAAAAGCAATCTATCTGTCTGTACCATGCTGAATTGTATAGCATCACATTTTTTTTCCATTGCATTGAACCGCACTGTGTCGAATCAAAATCTGATCGCACTGCATCGTAATAGGGGTGAATCATATCGCATCAGTAGCTGCTTCACATGTATATTTAATGTATTGTATTGTTGGCTATGCATCGAGATGCGTATTGCATCGGACTCAGTTATGGAGATGCACATCCCTACCATGTATGCTACCGACAAAGGTAGTTGTTTCTAGGAAAAACGCTATTACTGAGTAGTTGAACTTTTATTAAGGAATTTGCACCAGTCCCACACAGCACTCAATTAACACAAAGGGGAAGACACCAGTTTTCATGTTATATATAGCATGTCGTAACTTGTCGTTCATAAGCTCTAAATTGCTGTTTAATGCAAAACAATATAAAAAAAATGGTTGAATAAATTCATTAATCTTTTAACCATCTATATAGCCATGGTCAACTTAATTTCTTTATAGCAAAACTGCACAAAGCCTGAATTGGCCCTCCTTGAAAGGTGAAAAAAAAACTACACATGTATTACTGCCTATGTTTTGTTTATTTTGCTTTCCAAGGCTACAGCTTCCAGCCATTCCGTGGCTTATTATAGATGACAAGTCTTAGTTAGTAGCACAGCGCAGAAGTATTGAATTCAAAGAATGATGGGTGAAGCAGTTGAGAACTAATAAAAGACCCAACATACTCCGTTTAGGCAACCCTAAGAAACAAATGTCTTCAGTCCTTCCGCTCCCAGACTGACTGCAATTACATCAATTCTCTATAACTGTGTTGATCTAAAGAAACTCAACCTCTGAGGCTGGGTGTTGTGCATCTGAAAACCTTTCTTATGCCCATTATTGCTTTGAAAACTAATTGGATTAATAAAAGCAGACTTTAGTGACAACTGATCTGCCAGAAAAGTGAGTGAATATGCACCGAAGGCTTGGAGCCAGAGCATCTAACAAACAAAGTGGTGCAAAAATAAAGCCCTGCCTGGCTTAAATAAGTATTTTTAGATGTCAGATCATCAAGTCCACATTCTTCCACTCATTCCTGTAGAAACAGTTCCTGTTGTTGTCCAATGGCAGGATACTGCACACATTTGATAAGCCCAATTTTCTCACTAACTGCTTTTGAAGTCTTTGCTCATCAGTCCATTAATAAACAGGGAAAAACAACAAAAGGGCCAAAGTAAACTTGCTGGTGACCATGTCAATATTTTTGTTTGTCATCTGGGTCTATTGGAAAGTTTTCTCCTACCAGCACTTTCCTTTCCATTTGACTCGGTGTTTGTGCTATACGTAAAACAACTCCCCACTGTCAGAGTAAGCTGGTACTAACAGAACGAGAAAAAGATCTGCCTGAACAAGAGGTGGCAGCTGTCCGCGCAGACAGTGCCAATTTCCAAACAAAGCTCTGTGTCCAGTCAGTAAAGCCAAGTGGTTGAAGAGAGGATGACCAGCAAGGCAAAAGTGAGGAGCACTAACAAACATGCTACAATTCAGGTGCTGGAGGGGAGAAAAATATAAACACTATGTGATAACTGTTCTGATAGGAGGCTGTAAGAATTATAAACTCCTATCAAAAGTCAAACCAAACTTTCAAATAAAAGCTAAATGTCAAACTCCCCTTGTAACTGCATATCATTTAAACAATGAAAGGGGGAAGAACCAAAAAGAGGCAGAAATGTGCTTCAGAGAGCACAAAACGCTAATTCCTAATACACAACTTGATTAGAACGAACACTTCTGGCAAAATGGATCCTTTTAATTACCCACACTTTAAAGGGAAGATACTAAACTGTAGGGATGGTACATGCAGAAAGCATAGTGTTTTTACTTTGACTAAACTGACTCTTTAGTGTTCACAGATACTTAGGACCATGTGATATTTAAGTTTTTCTTTTTTAATAAATCTGCAAAAATGTCAACAATTCTGTGTTTTTCTGTCAATATGGGGTGCTGTGTGTACATTAATGAGGAAAAAAAATGAACTTAAATGATTTTAGCAAATGGCTAAAATATAACAAAGAGTGAAAAATGTAAGGGGGTCTGAATACTTTCCGTACCCCCTGTATATTAAATGTTGAATATTAAAACTTAGAAATGAAAAAATTTAATTTATGAAAAAATATCACACTATGTAGGCAAGTTCTCCACCTTAGACATTAATATACATAACATAAAAGTTATTTCTTCAATTAGCTTATATTTTTCCAAGTAACATGCCTTAATGACCTCTCACCTTGCAACCGGGAGTCAGGGATGACAGACACCCAATTATTCTGACCATTAACAGCATCTGACTGAATTTATGCATACTGTATTACACCATGGACAAATATGTAAACTGCCTATGAAGGGTAAGCCAAATTCCCAGTAGTTAATTCCTGCACAGTGGAACCAAGTCTATCTTTATCGGGGTCCTGTGTCAGAGTTGGAACAGTTGTTCCGACGAGCATCAGCATGACATTAATTGAATTTTTAACTAATACTTTGGAGAATGTATTTGTATTCTGGAATTCCTTTAGCCTCTTAAAATAGAACATATGGGATCAAAATATCTGTAATACATTGTGACAAGTTGTGGGCACATGTTGATTGTATCATGCCAAAAAACAAAATACCCAACAGTTGTTCCATCAGCACGTAGGATCACCAAAGCATTTGCGAATAACTGGACATAGAAATCAAAGCCTAGACACATCTGCTTAACATTTCACAAAGTATCACACTGGTCAGATAATGTCTCTACTCATGATTTACATTCACTGCAAACAGATGTCTTTCCTCAAAATGCAACTTTATTTGTCATACTTAAAGAAAAAGTTTGCAGTTCCTGCTTCTCACATTTTGCGATATTATCTTTCCTCAAGTTTTAAACAAATTTTGCACGTGACTGAAATAAGACTTTTCAAAGAGAAAATGTCCTCTGTTGTGCGGTGTCCAAATTACAGGGACTTCTTGCATTTCACATCAAAAGCTAATTTTATCTCAATCTTTTTAATTTCCACAGGTGCATCAATGTTACTTATGAATAAGCCTTCTTGATATCAGCTTCCTCCTGTTGGTCCAATAAGATATGTGTGAATTTAATGACACATTGATCTGATACTGACAGCAGGAAGTATCATGGAGGCACTGCTTTAATTACAGATGTCCCTGCATAATCCAATTTATAGGCTCTGAAACCTCAGCAGCAAAGTCCACCAGCATCGCTGGACAGCGCATGATGACAGAGTCATTACCATTCCAGGGATTGACAGCATAGAGATTCACCCACCTCTGGCCACACATGAAGAGGATTTCTTTACACAAAAGACACGCAGGGTTCACAGAGCTCATCTGACCAGAGCAGGAGCCCTACATGCACTGACCAGGAGCTGCAAAAGCCATTCAGCATCCTCTTGTGGCTAAACTGGGAAAAAGTAGTTTAACCCTCTCTTTGTGGTAAAATGGCTGTTAATAAATGTGTAGGACCATCATGAGAACATTCCTTGACATTTTCTAACAAGCTGTGCTAGAAAACCACTTTAAAATGAGCGGTTTCCATATTAACATGTAGAAACACATTTGGCAAAAGCTTTTTACCACATGAAATATGAACTAGGTTGTTAATATCAACAAAAATTGGTTGTTTTAGTGTGATATGAGGGATTAATGGATTTGAGATTGCCTTATATGAAAGTAAACATAACATTTCTTTAGACTAAGCAGCGCTCGACAGTGTTAGCTTTTCACATGCATTTGCAACTCAAAATAGATTGTGTGCAAAATGTAGTATGTATTTAGGAGCATGTGTATGAATTAAAAAAAAAACCTGCAGGTCGTTTAAAAAGTAGAGAATGATCACTTATTAAATTTAAGATTGTAAAAAGTCTTAAGTGTTTTAAATGACATAATAAACGTCTTATTTTAAGAGGTCTTGATAAACAGATAGATTATAAACTTTAAAAGGCTTTGATTTAATTAACTAAATGTAAGTGCTGCACATTCAAAGTAAAAAAGCTGGTTCCATCCATTACATGACAAACAAAACATAATAATTATTTACATAATTATTAAATACAGTTTGAGGCAGAAGTATTTTAAAATGGTACTTTTTATACTTAATTTTGCTTGTAAACGTCTTCTTGTATACCTTTATTAAGGGACAATTTTATTATTTCACCAATTTTGATTGCACTCCCACATTTTTTACCTTAGAAGCACAGGTGAAAAACAAGCATTAAACTCTGATAATCAGGCCTGGATATAAAAGTCTGCAAGGTGACAGAACTGGGGTCATGCTGCACTGTAAAGAGAGTGCTGAGCACAGATGCTTTACCTTCTTAGTGCTGACAGAGCGTCGCAGGGCCCTCGCATTCACTCCTGCTCTATTATTGCTGCCACTCGCAGATGGCAGGGTGGCTGAAGGAGGGCTGCACGGGGCACCAAGGGCCACAGTCATTCTCTCGGTCGCATTAATCTTTGAGGCAATGTTGTTGTTTTCTGTTAATACCAAAGTGCTTGTGCCCTTGAAATCAGCATGACTTAGCTCTATTCCTTCTCCATTCTTGATTTTGTTGAGGTAGTCTTTTAGCATTGCCTGAGTACTCGGCTCACTCAACCAAAAGAGGAAGAGCTCGTCGACCTTCATCTTCAGGACAGGCTGAAGCGTTTGTGGTGATGCCATTTGTGGTTTGCTTCATGCAGCCAAGATCCTCCCAAAAAGATAAAAAGAACCTGAAGAATAAATCAGAAAGGACAGTCAAAATCCTCAAATTTAGATGTTTGAAACACGCACTAAGCCCTATTAACTTAATCTTTACAAAAATTATTACAAATATGAGTAATTTAGGTCCTACCAAAACATTAGTCATTTTCATTGTTAGTACTGAAAAACTGTGTTAACTTGGTATTAGCTTCTTTTGTCATAAATAACAGAAATTGAACACGATGGTAGAAAGGTTTACGGATTTCGCATTTTACAATATTAATAACTGCAGTAACTATGGTATTGCGACGTAAACTGGTTTCTAAACATCCCACCGCGGAGGACGAAACTAGAGAACAGCGAAAATGTCTTCTTATTTAAATTCACTTTATTTTTCTCACAATTCCACACATAAACCAAAGGAAAGCTAAACTGTGACAGAAATAAGATGGTTTGTTGCTGTTGCTAGCGGACTACACGCAGCATACACTTCCACAGCGAACAGTACGGGTAAATAATTACATAAACACCGCCAGTATTCCATAACGTAGACAAAGAAACGTATTTTTAATCGCTAAAGTCCACAGAATTAAAGGTAACTGTTTGGCATTACTCTACCTTCTGTTATTACGATGAATTTTGGCTGTTATCGTTCATTCAAAAAATGGGTACACTTTGAATCAAACTCTCGTTTCCTCAGGTAACCGGGAACGTTTATATCGCGAGAGCAGAGTTCATGCGCGAACGACTCGTTCGTTTGAAGCGGTTCGTTAAAAGGAATCAATCGAGCCGATTCGCAAGAACAACTGTTTGAGTTACCGTTTGAATGGATTAGAGAGTTGAATAATGAGAGTCACTGGATGAAGCGAACGTTTTCTGATCTCGCTCGACTCCAAAAGAATCACTGTTTGAAAGGAAAGATTTCTGTCGTAAGGTAAAAAAAACAGTTACTGGAGGAGTATTACTCAGCATTCCAATGCAATGTTTTTCCATCATCACCATCTTCAGCAAGTGAAAGATTTTTATATGAGGGAAAAATATTATTGTTCAAACACAATGACTTAATCTACGTTCTTGGACAGAATTTGGATTTTGCTCACAAAACAACCACAACTAGAACATTTGTTTTTTTTTCATCTGATGTAGGCTACTACCCCAGAAGTAATTATTATTTAGAAAACTAAGTATTTTAATTCTTTCACTTGCTTTACTTCTTTCATTTAAAATGTAGACATATTCTGTTTAAGAATAGATTATTATTTACATGTGACCTTGAACAAAAAGGTCTGGAAGTGCAGTGGAAATTGGTTTTGACAACTGCGTTAGTGCGGTGTCCCGAAAAAAGTACTAATTCTAATGATCACAATATTAGACTGATGAAAAAATTGTAATGGAGCCCCCTGCAATGTCCCTGAAATTTACAATAATACCACATTAGGCATTGTACCTAACAGAAAGAAATGTTTTGTTCATGTAATGATTTTCTTGCAACCATTGCTGTATATAAATTGTTTAAACTAGACTACAACTGTAATAACATCATGCTAAAGGAAACACAAAAAAACATATGATCCACAGCAGTCTGAAATCCTTAAAAAGTTATTCCACCCTGTACCTCATGATTTTTAATAAAAGCACAAAAGGACGCCCTCTTTATTAAAAAAACATTTAGATTTGTAATTCACATAATAAATCAATGCTTGGTGGGAAGAATGGATTTCACAAGACTCTTCAATTGCTCTCAGATGTTTGAATTCTTTATTTGAGATCACAATGGGAAAAGGGAACGACGCTTATGCCTTTGAAAATCCATGGAGATTTTCTCATGCTATATTGATGTTAACGGTACAGTATGGAGGGAACTTGTATTGCTCAAAAAATCAACTTTTTGATAGTAGACAAACACAATCTTTTAGTTATGTTCTAATTGCCCCTGTCTTTATATTTTTACTTTTCGGAAAATACATTGTGTCTGTATAAACAATGAATGAACGAGCACACTGAAAAAATGAAAATATGATTTTATAAAAAAAAAAAAAGGCTGTTTGTATGACCTGCAGATGACCTGCAGAGATCGTACTTCACCAGAACACACACACACACACACATGCATGTTCATTATTACAACATTTAAAGAAGAGCTATTTATCAGTTAATACATTTATGTCTAAAACACATTACCATATATCAGATGACTGGGTAGATTTCTGAAACACATCTTTCTGTGGCTACAGTCACCAGGCAAGACCACAACATCTATTTTTGCTTTTAACTTTGGAAAACCTTTCAGGTCTTACTTGAGTGCTATGATTTACAAGCATGTTGCATGAGAACTACACTAAAAATACATTTCCATTTTGAGTTCACAGAGAAGATTTATATTTGTTTTACAGCAAGGTACTGAACTGTAAACATAATTATGCGCATATTCCTTTTATTGTTTTATTTAATCACACTCAAGTACCAAGGTCAAGTAGCATGTCATCAATATTAATCGAAGAACATCGCGGTATTTAAAGCTATTTGTTTGTTGATGTGCTATTAACTGTATTTAAAGGCAGATAAAGCAGTTTCCTTTCAAGATAAAAACGAATGGACATTACATCATGGCGTGAATTATTTCATGCATTAACTAAATTGCCCCCTAAATGCTTCCTACAAAAATGAGTAACCTATTTTAGAAAAATGTGTTTAATCTATTAATTGACTTAAGATTTCAATCTAGGTTTTTTTCCCTCAAACATGAGAAGAAAAGTCATGCGATTCCCCCCATAATGCTGGACAAAGAGCCGTTTCTTTCCCTGATGTGCCACGTGAATGTGGAAATAGGTTTAGACGTTACAGCATATTCATCCCATGGTTAAAAAAGGTAAAAGAGGCTGGTTGAGCCCCCAGGGGTCTGGGGACCCGGGCCCCACCTTTGAACACGCATCACATCACTCTTTCATTTCAGCTCCCAGAATTTCATCATTCATTTCACATTATCTGAAGCTCTCTCATAGGGAGCTTTGCTCGCTGTCGAGATGCCTCTGTTGCTTCAAGATCTCTTTGAATAATTCAGAAAAAGTAGGAGAAGATTAGAAGGCATTGGATTTGACTGCGTGAAGAATCAGTTCAACAACTCCCATCATAGTTATCAGTGGATCCGTGCTCAGGCAGACTGTGGTAGTTGTGGTTCAGATGTATTTACAGTGGTGTAATATCTCATTGATGTGAGTGACAAGGTGCAGATTGAGAATTTAACTCGCCTCTGCATCACGAAAATCAATGGAAGTATAAATACAGTTTAAATGTCATAAACGCTGTCATTCAGGGCTACAGTCTGAGCTCAGCACAGCTCACGTTCAGATTTTTAGAATATGAATGATCTGAAGAATTTGAGTTGAATGCTGTACAATGGACAAACTAAAAGGCAATTGTTTATATAGTCACATTTACAACAGAAATAAAGAGAAGGGGTCTGCAATTAGTCTTTAAATAATTGTTTTTCATCCAATCCAATTAGACAGACTAGGTTTAAGTTATAAATTATACAGTTGATCTAGCTTTTTGTGTAGGTAAAAAGCAACTTCTATTCAATGATATGATATGCACAGGAAAATAAGTAACTTGCAATAAAATGAAAGAGACTGCAATTAACAACCATTAATGGCCCACAAAATTAGAGCTCGAATTGAACATGAGGCAAATTGTCACCAGTAATACCGTGTTGAATGACTTTTTCTGCCTAAGTATTAATAATAACCATTTAATGTGAGAAATTATGTTATTATTATTTTAAACGGGCCACAATTTGTCATGAAATTAATCACACATTTAAACGTAATTTTTTTAATGAGCATGAAAATTCAGTGATGTCTTATCAAAGGCAAAGGCAATATTCTCTTTATCTCTGCCAAAGAATGTCTCCTTTGACCACAGCAGGATCTAATTTGTGAGCATCTTCGCTACGTGTGTGTACAAATTCCAAAAGTTCTCAAAAAGTCACCCTAACAAGTGTTTCCATCTGATTCATGTGCAGAGATATATCTATATATATCTATATATAGATGTTGAATTTTACATTACCTACATATTATACAGTATGGGTCTCTGTGTATATAGTGTGAGTGTGTGCATATGTATATAGCCTATATTATTACCTAAAATTAAAAACATGTATATATATAAATGTATAAGTTTCTTTGTAATTCATTCTCAAATTTACTAGTGTTTTTCCGTTTTTTTTTTCTTCTTTCAAAATTTTAACGCTTTATGGAAATATATGTATATATATCTGCAGCTCAGGGGCCTTGTGTCTGTCAGATCACATCTCATGGAAACGTGTTCTGTCTCATTCTTAAAACATTATTCCACCTCACCTTCTCAGAGACTTTTGTCATGACGTCTGGGATGTAAAGATCTGGTTCTTATAATTAGGCCGTGAGTCAATCCACTCAAAGTGCTTCAGTTACAAATGTACGGTGCCATGGAAACAGATATGGCTGACTGTATGGTAAAATGAGACATTAAAAAAAATCTTTTCGAGGACAGTTTACCCTTCATAGCCATCATATCATGCGAGGAAGTATCTGTTTGATATGTGCTGAAAAGGACACATACTTTTCACATCACAAGAGGCTACAGCCTTGGCACTGCTCCCTGAAAAAGGATGAAAACAAGCCGTCTAGTCGGACAGAATCAATGTAAAGCAATTACATTAGCAACCCCAGGAGCAGCAGCATGTGTACCTGTGCAGCATGTAGACAGTGGAGACTGCAGTGACGGCCTGCTTTGCTCTTCTCAAGCATCTGCAGGAGGCTGTAGGCATATGAAATCACTCAGATGTGAAATATCAAAAACATGTCTTAAACTGTCTGTACCTGTGTATGGGAGGCACAGACAACAGAAATGTGTGCACATACATGTGCTTATTCAAGGTCTGATATTGCACGTGTGCCCTCCTACAGAAATTACATTCATTGTCTGTGTTATTGCTAATCACTGACAGAGCACATTGTTCACAGCAGGGAAAAAGAGGGCCATCAAGAACAAGCCTGACTGATTCCCACTGTGCTAGTGCACGCAGGATATGCGAATAAATCCTCTTATTTGCATGCTTGATTTGCAACATATTTTGCTCGTTTTCGTTGCTCTTTGTTCTTGTTTACTCAAATTGCGAGACAATTAAAGGACACGCATGTTGATACAGATCAACGTCGCCTTTCTTAAAATTGTTTTCAGCCACAGCACCATTATAAATAATTTGATTACACAAGTGCCAGAAATATATTTGCCAACTTTTCGCAGGCTAAGCCTGTTTGTTTCCTGATTTAATATTATAGTAAAAATGTGGGTACTGTCACTGGAACAGCTTGTCAGAAGTTGAATGACTAGCACGTACAGTGTCTGGACTCTGGTTCAATTGAAAAATGCTGTGACATAATTACTCCACTAGATGTCAGTACACGCTATTTATATCTTCAAACACACAACAGAGCAACGATTTTTACTTAATAATACTTAGAGACACCGAGGTTAGGAAAACAAACCAACAAAGAAATCACACCTGCCAAAATATTTTGATATTTGAATTAGCCTGCTATCTTATAAAATAATTCTTTGAACATTAGATTCAAATGGCAATTGTCAACAGTCAGAAACACTCACACGAAGGTGAAAGAGCACTAAAATAGGCTTAAAATAAACTTGCC